CAGCAGCTCGGATCGCAGCCCCTCTGGGACGTCCTTCGTCTGTGAAACAGCGTCGGTGAAACTCATTTTAAAGGTGGAACTTTTGCTTTGTTCAGTGTTTATTTTAATCATCGAGTCCATTTCGTCTGCGGAAAATTCGGCTCCCGGTAGAATAGAAAATATAATCCTATATGTATAATATGTATAAATAGAAAAACTGGAGAAGTTGACTGCAATGACAGCGATGGTGGTGAAGACAACAACTCCCATGATCCCACGCGGCATCATGGCATCATTAAACTTGTCTTTTTGTTATTATTTTGATGTGAGAGACCTCCCAGCAGCAGAAATGACATATACATTTAAATACTTCCACTCCTCCACTTTGTAACGCACACTCTCTGGGGGGCCCAGATAACCCTGATGACATCACTATGACATCATCATGTTTTTTTGTTTGTTTGTTTTTTTTCAACCTCTGGGAATCTCCTGAAGAGCCACATTAGACATTATAGCTAAGCCGTTTCCAGAGGCTGAGGAGTGCTCACTGTTTTGAGTAAACGGATCCTTTAAACCAGCATTAACAGACCCCCACCTGGAGCAGCAGGAGAGCAAATAAAGGCTCTCTGATATTAAAACTTTCTGTGTGATATCTCATTAATATTGTCCCCACCATTAGTCATTTTCATTATGGAGGACACATTATATATCAAAATAAAACAACCCGTCATCGACTGATGTCTGCGACGTTTGCGGGTGGTGAAAAAGTTGGTTTAAGCCCCGAACTATAAACCTCATGAATCCTACTGTGAACATATGCCTGAATTTTCTGTGGAGCAGAATAGAATTATACATTATTTTTATCTTTGCTTTGACATCGGCATTATATATCGGCCGCCCTGCTCTCTAAATATCGGCACCATATGGTCGACTATTGAAATGCATTAAACAATGAACATTTATTGACATTCATATAATAAACAGTGTGAGTAATACAGAATACAGGAACACAAGATAAATATTGATGTGCTAAAGTCAAAAACTTTAATTCCATAACAATTTATAAATCATTTTCCAACCCCCATTTTATTATATAGGATATATATAATTATACTAGTTGATTTTCTGTGTGATAAAGTGATAAAACCTGTATTTGAAGACTCCTGCAGGCTGCTCACCATGAAAAGGATGTGGCTCTTAAATATTTACTCACGGAAAAGGCTAGTTATCATTAGGTTGCTAGACAACTTGTGAAGCCAGTAGAGCTCTGTTTAAATAGCCACTAGGTAAATATGTTATCTGTGAATGAACACATGAATCATACAGCAGCGGGGATATTTGACAACGTTGCGGGCTTCTCGTTGGAGGCTGAGCTGAACAGTGAGTCGAAGAAAAGGACTGTTTATTTTGGCCTCAGGGAGGAAAAGCTGTGCGCAAAGACTCCGGATAGGTGAGCGCATGATTTGAGCTACTACTCCAAGAATCCGCCTCTGACAGTCTGTGGGATTGCCCCTGTGTTCCTTTTCTGCGGAATCTAAATATAAGTCGGTGACAAATAGTCCAAATACAGTAGCAACCCAACTGTGATGTGGGGGTGGTGCTGAGAGAACAGCTCCCTCTCCAAAGTCCCCCCCCCCCCTCTGTTGGATCCGGAGTCCGTCAGGAGAAGGTCGCACAGAGTCTTCAGCTCCCGCCTGCACCACTTGACGAATGTTTTTTCCTTATTACCATGAAGAGACAAAACGCCAGGACTCTCGCCCTCATCATCAGCATCCTCACCTACCTGGTGGTCGGTGCGGCCGTGTTCGAGACCCTGGAGTCGAAACAGGAGAAAAGTCACAAGAGGAAGCTCGACGCCAGAAAGTACGAACTCATGCGCAAATATAACTTGACCAAAGAGAACTTCGAGGAGCTGGAGCACGTCGTGTTGCAGCTCAAACCTCACAAAGCGGGGGTCCAGTGGAAATTTGCTGGCTCCTTTTACTTCGCCATCACTGTGATTACGACAATAGGTGAGCAGCTGTGTTTTCTTCATTAAAAGAGATGTAGTTGAAGCTATTTGACTGAAGGAGGCTCAGTGCAGGGCCGTAGCCAGGGTACGAGGGTAAGAGTCCCCCCATTCCTGTGCTGTCAGTTTGAGCCCCTCAGTAGCAGTGCACATTGGAGCCACAGTAGCTGAGCATCAGATTTTCCAAAACATAAACACCTGGTGATCTTTGACAGGTTGTTAAACAACAGGTAGGACCCACTGCGGCTCTGGAAGTGTTGACAGAAGCCTCACAGACTCTTCATCATCCATCCAGTGATGTGTCATTGAGCCCACTCCTTTTGGTGAATTATTTCTGGGGGGG